CAGGGGCAGGTTCAGTTGGAAGGTTTTGTCTTCACCAGTGATGTTTGTCACTCACAAGGTTCATAATCTCTCCTGCTGTAGAGGCAGTAGTGCTGCACCATAAAAACAATATCAAAGATGATAGAGAAGACACCCAGGCCAAACTTGGTTGGATCTCCAAAGATTAACTTCCACTGATCTGTCAAACACAAAATCAGAGTTAAAGTCTTGTCTAAAGACTGAGGTCATGCCATATGTGTTAGATAAGTTGATGTTTATTACCTGCTTAGACACACCTTAAGACTGACTGTAGTGCACACCTTGTGCAAAGTTAATGAGTAACTGTTCCTGTGGTTTCTTCAGAGTACCTATTTCATTTTCCATCTTGAAGGAACAGGAACAGATTCTTCATTCTTTGTATAAGAACAACTCTCCCTACCCACCACTCTCCTGAGATAACCTACTGGTTTGTATCTGCTTTGTAGTGGGCTCTCCCACCCCATTAAGAAAGGCCTCAGCCCCTCAGTTCCAGCCTTACCATTGTTGTATGACTGCAGAAACATCTGGAGAAGGCTGAAGCTTCCACCAGTGAAGTCCAGTAACACATTCCCAATGCTCCATCCCTCCGTACTCTTCCGGCGGAAATTCATGTATGCCTGAGAGTGTAACAAGATCTCAGTCAGTGTGTCCTGGACAGGCATTTGGGGTCAACATTTAAGCTTTCTACACTGATTTTGTCACCTAAAGGCTTACTAAAGAATCACTGGTGGTTCAGTCTAGTCAGACTTTCAGGAGTACACACTGCAGGCTGAAAAATACAGTCATAGAATAGAACCAACCTGGTTGGAAAAGACCTCAAATATCATCAAGTCCGACCCTACGATGGTTACTAGACCATGGCACTAAATGCCATATCCAGTCTTGTCTTGAAAACCTCCAGGGATGGTGAATCCACCACCTCCCTGGGCAGCACATTCCAATGCCTGAGCACTTTCTCCATAAAAAAATCTCTTCCTAATATCCAACCTAACCCTCCCCTGGCAGAGCTTGAGTCTGTGCCCTCTTGTCCTGCTGCTGGTTGCCTGGGAGAAGAGACCAACCCCCACCTGACTCCAACCTCCTGTCAGGCAGTTGCAGAGGGTGAGAAGGTCTCCCCTGAGCCTCCTCTTCTCCAGGCTGAACACCCCCAGCTCCCTCAGCCTTTCCTCATAGCACTTATGCTATAAAAGGAGAAGAGTTTGGATTTACCTGTGGGAAATACTTTATCAGTGTGACAGCTAACTTAATGTAGGAGAAGCAGAATAAGAACTGCAGCCATGTCATCTCCTCAGCTGCAGCAAGGAACAGTGTAGTAAAGGTGAAGATCCATGCGAGTGCCAGGAGTCCAACAACCACTTGGGATACTTTCTGACCTGCTCTCTGAAACAGAAACACAGGTATACTTTGGCCTGGCCAAACATCCCCAGACACTAAGATACAGTTTGCTGATGACTGTGCAATATTACAGTCCAAACCTGTTTTACCAGTCAGGCTCCTGCCACAAGGGAACTTTAAAATGAAGCAAGTGCTGCAAGAGCTGGTGAGCAATATGCATATCAATCATCTGAAACCCTAGTCCCTGAGCAAGTGGGAAACAACACTGTGACAGTATTGTTGAGTGTTTATGATGCCTGTTATTAGTGCACATCTGTAACAATCTCCCAGGTTCACTCTGGTGGTATCAGGATGGCTGATAATGTCATTGTGGTAAAAGATTTCTGGTTGCTTTCTAATTCTTCACTAGAAAAGGCTGTTGCACTTGGCAGTGCTAACAAATTGGTTTAGCATCACCGAAGGAACCTGAGAGAAACAGTTACCATCTACAGAAATTTGGCTGATTAGCAGCTTTTACACTGGGAATTAAGTGAAGAAACACCTGACTAACAATCAGTCTCACCTTGAAAGGTGGTAATTATAAAAAGGCCCTAACAGGCCTTTAGGAGAAAATAAGATGTTAATTTGAATTGCAGGGAAATCCTAAGGACCTCGAAGAATACTCCAAGCAGCAAAGAAGCAGCAAAGCACACAGCAGCATTTGTACTGTGTAGAGCTGTAATTTGTCTGTTTGTTAGAGATCTGTTTGGGAACTTTATAGACTTGGCTGTTTGCCTCAGTTGTTTTGAGTCTTTAAGGAGTTTACTTACAAGCTCAGAACAGCCATGAAGTTGAAGTGGATAAGGTTAGTGGAGTTTTACTAGCTGAGGAAAGATGAAGCTGGACTGTGAAGCCTGACTGCTGGAAAGGCTAGTGGAAGTGCAGGGAAGAGGACTCTGGAGTGTAAAGAAGTGGTGAGGTGCTCAGCAGAGGGAGCTCTGCCAGAACCAACAGGAGAGTCCTGCACACACACACACACTCACCTCATAGATGCAGCACTGAATGATGGTGAGGAGAGTCAGAGCTACTGCGTGAAGACTGAAGAAAACATCATTGATAGCCACAGGGTTCACCCCACTGGGATAACTGACTAAGAATTCCTCCTAAAGATAAGAGAAACCAAAACCAGCCACATGTCTTAGCTTCCTTCTGTAGATACCCAACTCCCTGCAAGTATTAAGAGAGAATCATGCTCACCTTAATCAAGGGAATCCAGAAGAGCCCAATATTAAACACACTGTATGCTATAAAGCCAGTAAGGTTTAATGCCAGAAAGTCAAAGCTTAGTCCAACAACACTAGAGAAGGGGAAAAAATATGAGAAACACACATCAGAGCATTACAGGCAGTTCAGGGAGAACCTGACTCTAGAATGAATTGATCTATAGGCAATTTCTGATGCAAGTGAAAGCCACAGGCATTGTGACAACACAGTGCTGTGAGTTCATCAGGAAGCAAGAGGAAATAACACAGGTCTCAGGGAGAGCAGGTTGTGTCCCTGCTGTTCAACTTCACCTTGTCTGATAAAGCCAAAATCCAAGAAGTACTAGTGCATCTTGGCCACAGCAAATGCTTTAGTTTTCACAGAGAATAGTTTCTACTTAGAGTCACTTAGTTTATGTCACTTAGTCACAAAGTTGGCCTAATGATGATACTAAAAGAAGGTGTCTGAGAAACACCTCTCAGAGCTGGTGATCATCACCATTAGCTCAGCCAGATGATTCCCAACATGGCACCAAAAGGAATGGGAAAGTCTCCCCTATCACAAATTAGTATTGGACGCCAAACCTTAGGATCAAGTGTCTATAGAATGCACTTAGCTCCCCCTGACCTGCAAGTATAAAAGCTCACTGGGACTGCAATTATTCAGGCTGTACCTTTGCCTGGTTTTTTTTTCCCCTCATCTTTCCATGGATCTAACTGAAGCTAAGAACAAAATTTGCAGAAGTGCTTAAGTGACTTGCCAACATAACTTGAGTTACCTTTTCCGCCTCCAGTTCACAAAGAGCTGAGGATAAAAGGAGATGGACCAGGCCACAAAATAGATCCAACCAATCACCTCATCAGTGTATCTCACTATGATGCTGTGAATCACTTGAAATCGAATCCTAGGTCTGACGGTTAATGCAAAAACAATTAGTTAATTCACCTGTTCATGCTTTTTGTCTTGTTCTGCTTTGAGAGAAGAGACAGAGTCCAGGTGTTGAGACAAGACAACAAAGATTCAATTGGTTTCAGTTCAATTGCTCCCTTTTTCCATTAGTGTTCAGGGCATCTCCTACCCTCAACCTACCCTTTCCCTTCTTGCCTTTCTTTCCATTCTTTTACCACAGGAATGTTCAAAAAGGTCATCTTGTCCCTATGGCTTCCACTCTTTTAGCACAAGGACTGTTAGGCAAGAGCAGAGTTCCACTTTCATGCTCTGCCAGCGAAGCCTCATGATCATGTCTGTCTCGTCACACATTGCATGTGCTGATCTCAGCCTGTGCTTCAGCTCTTAAAAGCAGAAGCAAAACCAGGAAGTAAAACAGGAGTATCTGGTTGCTCAGTAGCATCTGAGCAACAAGCAAATACAATCCAGCTTTCTCCAACTTGCTAGGCCTTTCCTGTGAGGGAGGACTGGCATCTGGGAGAAAAAAGCTTCCCTAACTAGAAAGCAAAGTGCCTGTGTCTCATGGCCCAGCTGCATCAGGCTGTTGGCACTCCAGAACAAGCCCTGCACACTAAGAACAGTATCCCACTGGACAGTTACAGCCTGGACCAGGAAAGTTGACATGTAGTTTTCATACTTTTAGGAGGGGTTATTAAAACTAGACTAAGGAGCCATGAGAACTCGGTCATCTAGTAATTAAATCTAAGATACCAAGACTATCACTTTGCTTCCAAGCCCACTATTTATCTGAACTCCTTGGGGTTTGCTGGAGGGTTACCACATCTTCTCAACTCTATCCCACCCATGTCCCATTTAACCACAAGGAGGGAATAGTTACCCCGAAGTTTAGGGAGCTATAGGATAGTAAGTGGAACTAAAAACCAGTTTCTTACCCAGTTGCGTTGGAATTAAGGGTATAAAGATAAACTGTTACTTGTCCAACATCATCTGCTTTCACTTGGAAGTTTGCTTGAGTGTGACCTGCAGGGAACTGTACCTGCAAGGCAAAGAGGAGAGTTGCATCATGCTAGCTGTTGCCTTTTGCATAATGTCAGAAATCTGTTGTGCCACTTACTTCATCAGGCAGTTCAACGATGGTGCTGTGCTTTGAGGAGTGTGTAATGTTCAGAGTTATCACCAGTGTCTCATTTAGTGGAGCCCTGGGAAGGCAGAACAAACAAGTCAGGCTGGTGCCTGAGTCCAGAGATTGCTGCAGGGCTGTGGGGGAGTATCTGACAACTCCTCTCTGCAGTGAGCAGCTCACACACAACAGCTCCTGCCTGGCACTCAGGGCAACACCAGCACCAAAGTGTGTGAGCATTGTGCCAGCTCTTTTCTGTGATCCAGTGGTGGCACTAGATGATTATATGGCCACGTTTTTATCTCCTTCTCCATACATGGCAGACCAAAAAATCATTGCCACCAGGATCCTATCTCTGTGCTGCTTAACTCTTTGCTGGTAAAGAGGGGCAGAAAGGAAGGACATGTACTTGGGGTGATGGACAGAAATTCCAGCAGTAAGACAAAACAAAAAACCCCCATAAATATAAACTCTCCAAGTGACATAGCTCTGCACAGTTTTTCCAGAGAACTCCACTGTGAAGAGTCCAGGAGATGATCCTTCTAGGAAATGCAAGTTTCTGTTAAGCAGCAATATTTGGAGATGGAGGAACTGCAAATTCATTAAGGAGGACAGTCCTTGTTCTGAAGGGAAAGTAAAGCAATGGTGATTTTACCTCAGAGCGATAGTGACGTTTGTTGAACTTCCACTTTCCAAGGAAATCACTTCAGGGACAGACAATACAATGACTCCATCTGTGAAGAAAAAAACCACACACACAAATCTCAATTACTATGTACATCTCCCTCAGATGCACAACCTACTTTCTTTTGTGCTGGAGACACTTTGTCCATTGGTGCCTGCAGTATCAGCTCACTCACATCAGTGCACGTGACAAGCATCAAGGGGAGTATAACTTCTTTCAGAGTGACTAAATAACTTAAAAGGAGAAGTGAATAACTGTCACTTCAACATGCTGCAAGGAAGTAATTTAAATATTTAAAGTGCAACAAAAGTTCATGTCAAGAGAAGGTTATAGGATACTACAAAACCACACTGATTGTTTCTTGGTGTGATCCTAGAAGCATCAGACTCATAAAAGCCCAAAATTTGGTTTAAGAATTGCTTCTTGGGTCACAAATTCAAAGCAAGTACCCAGATGTCTAAAAAAATGTACATTTACTATCTTAAGACTTCAGGAATCACAAGCACCTTGCTACAGCACTCTGAAATACTGGTTTTCAGTGGCAGCTTCTATACCAACCCAGCTATGTTGTACCAAGTCAGGTTTTAAGAGAGACTGAGTTCCCAAGTGTCAGTACAACTTGTGTCAGAACAATTTTGACATCTGGAATCCAGTCTATTTTATTCACCCTATGTTTATATACACAAGAGACCAGGGGAAGAACAAAGAGCTATATAAAAACAAGACCAGAAATGGAGAGATAAACAGGTTGCACAGGTTGGCACAGACACTTTTTCTTCCCCTCCCCTGTTCCCACATATTACACAGTGTTCTTGAGAAGCTATTTAAGTGTAGAGGAGCTCCCCAGGACATCACTGGCTGCACCCCCAGGGCAGTATTTAATCTGCTGCTGCAGAGGTGAGTTCAGAGCACCAGGCCAGTGCTCCACCACAACAATCTCAGCACCGTCTGTGTACAAGCACAGCAAGGCAACATGTGAGAAGAGCTGCTGGGAAATGCAGCACAGGTATCCCTAGGGAGATGTAATGGGATAACTGGAGAGCAGATAGGAAAAGCAGTACAGGTATCCCTAGGGAGATGCAATGAGATAACTGGGGAGCTGGTGGGAAATGCAGCACAGGTATCCCTAGGCAGATGCAATGGGATAACTGAGGAAATGCAGCACAGGTATCCCTAGGGAGATGCAATGGGATAACTGGGGAGCTGGTGGGAAACGCAGCACAGGTATCCCTAGGGAGATGCAATGGGATAACTGCAGCGCTGCCCTCCCCCATCCCTTACTGACCTGGAGCCCCGTGTGCCCACGGTGAGCTGTCCCCACACTCACCACCAGGCCCGAGCAGCAGGAGCGAGAGGCACAGCAGAGCTCGGAGCAGGACTCGCA